TGCTGTGCCTCCCTTATTCCTTCTCCTCCACGCATGTTGTTCTTGCCTGCCCCTCTGAGGACCAGGAGTGGGTCCCCAGCCGTGTCCCCAGTGATGGTCCCCTTCCAGATGTCTTCCGCTTGCTCGTGGAGGCTGCTCGTTCCCCAGCACATGCGGGCCAGGTGGCAGGGGCTGCTCAGGGACCCCCCTGCCCAAACCCCACAACTTATCCCCCAAATCCTCACGGCCAACAAAACCCTAGAAGCCAGAGCTGTTGTAATTTCAGAAATCACACTGTGAACTCTTTTTTTGAACCAGCAAAATGAGGAAAAGAAACAGCGAGAGGCCAAAACATGCATTGCCCAGGCATCTCCTAAAGCTGCAGCAGCAGGGCTGCTAACACGCACACAGCTGACATCAGCCAGGCTGGATTTTTGCAAGCAACTCGTTCTACTTTTTTCCAGACAAAATCAGTTTTAGCCGCAAAATCCAGTTGTCCAGGTGGGTGTCTCTGGTTTGGGGGGAGTGAGGGGGTATTTCAAGCACGGGGAAAACGGACTGGCAGGGTTTGGGAAGGGGCAGGCGCTGCATCTGCTGGGGTTGCAGCTGGCACGGCCACACCGTCAGGAGTGTGAATTTTGTGCCAGTAAAACTTTCAGGGTAGTGCTCCAAAAGTAATAGCTGTAAATATTTATCTTTTATGCTTAAAAAACCTGACTGCACAGAACTGCTAGATGCTGGTGCATGCACTGAAGGGACAGGAGAAGGGGAGGAGAGTCAAGGCCCTGAAGGTTGCCTGCTAAGCTCCTTCTAAGGTAAATTTTCTGTAGTCTGTTAGCAAGAAATCATCCGCTTTAGAAAGAAGCACGCATTGGCGTGTTTTGTTTTCTCAGAGAAGTGTGGAATTTGAAGCCAGGTCCTTTGGCTTATCTGTTGTAAACCATGACTGCTTCTCAGCGCCACACCACTCAGTATTTCCTAGAGAAGGGATTCTGAGAAAAAAGAAAGAGCCCCAGTTCCCTAGAAGCATTAAATTAACACAAGGGATCTGTAAACGAAACAGCAGAGGTTTGAAAGCCTTACCCTTTACTGTTTCCTGCTTTCTTGGAAAAATCTCAGTATTAAAACAGATTGGATTACATTACAGGGCTAGTTGCTGCTGAAGAATTTTATTTTGGGTTATAAAACACAATGTTTGCTGTTTTTCTAATTCAATTTGCTTTTACCTTCGTTATGTCACACTGTTACTAAGGTTCCTGTGAGAAAATGCAGGTTGTTATTGCCTGCAAACTACCCCAATTATCATCTGCTCTCACTTTGCAAAGTAATCGTGGGTAGAAACTGTGTAGTAAGTATAATGCTGACCTAAAGAAGTATGTCATAATTTCAAATCCTTTTGCTTTGGGCATATAAAAAAATTACGTTAAGAACTTGTTCCCCCCGCCCCCCAAAAAAACCCTTAAAAGGTTAACACGTCTCTGAATTAAAACAAACGCTGACCATAACACTACCAACCAGTTTACACCTCTGAATTATAAAATGTAAACAAGTGATCTTGCAAACTTTATTTTGAAGGGCTTGTGCCTTCGTAGCGAAGTTTTCAGCTAGAATAACAACACCAGCAGCCTCGCGTGGGCTCAGAATAATTTCACCACGAAGGGCTGACTGTAACTCCAGCCCTACTCCTGCAGTCCTCACACAAGGAAGACTCGCATTTAATACAGTGGGAACTTTTGCCAGGTGATAGCCACAGGATCAAGCTTCCTGGGTAGGATAAAAATCTAAAGCAAATTTTTATATTCACGTTTAATTGTTTTAAGTAGGTGAAGTGAAAATTCTTGGCACTCCCAAATGACATCAAAGATTGAGGGAGGAAAAAACCAGAAGATTCTTGGTAGCAATATATTTAGCACCTTTCTTGGAATGTAATTGTTACTGGAAACTTTGGGGGTGTATCCATATGCGTTAACCACTCTTGTACAGTAAAGTCCGGTCTCTGAACTCATAAAAGTATTATACAATATTCTAACTACCTCAAGAGGCCTGATAATAATCATAAAATCATAGCATTCCACAATAATCCTAAAGATAAAGTGAATAATTAATTTGCAGCTGGAAAAAATATGCTACTGCGTATGTTACTGCAATTACAATTTCTCTGCATACTGCAGTGATGCTTCTCACAGAGCAAGTAAGAACAGAGTTAAAAATATAAAAGTGTCAGGCCCAGGCAAGTAATTGACTCTGCCAAATTTATAGATGCATGTAAGAATTTGATTTTACAATGTTGTTTTCCAAGTATTCATTGGCTATGTGAAAAATGGGGGGTCGGGGGGAAGTTGCGGTGAAAACAAGCGATGCAGGTCAGGACCAGATTGTTTTTCCTGTCGTCTTTTAGTAATATTCATCTGCTTGGTTTAATCTTCCTACTGCCACCTGTATGCTAAAACAGTGAAGTTTTAATGAAGAACACCTAGTGATACTATAATGCTTGTAATCAATGTTCCTTCTTGAAATGGCACAGCACAGCACTATCAGATTTGAAAGAGAGGGAATTGTGTGAGTGAAAATCTATAGCCACTGCCCAGTCTGTGTGCTTGTTCTTGAGTGTTTGTAAGCAGTTTTGCTTAAAGGTAAGAGAACAACAGGACAGTCCATCAAAATCCCCTATACATTCCTCTTGGAAAATATTTTACCACCACCACCTTTATATTTAGAGGAGACATACATCAATCCAAAACCAGACTGTAGAGCCATTTTTAAGCCAGACATGAAGAAAATATAAATGACATAAACTAACTAATGAAAATGACATGAGAGCCCTACAGATTTTTAAATTATTTATTCTTGTTCCCTTTTACATACCGATGTAGTTTCTAATACCACGAGCAGAAAATATAGACATCAAAACATAGTTATTACAATATTAAACAAATACCTAGAGTGTAAAATATTCTGCATTTCAAACTGAAACATTGAGATTTTTTTCAAAAAGTTAAATACAAAAATTATGGCTCAGACCTGCCTGCAATTTGCAGGTGACTTAAAATGACTTGAAAAATAAATTAAGATACTATTCACCCAAATGGATTCCTAGTTGAGTATTCAGATCAAATTGCAACAAGGACAGTAGCTCATAGCATCTTTAGGATGTAATTTTTAAAACTCAACCACAGAATTATAGCAATTTTGACAGCACAAGGAATATAATTATGGTTCATACAGAAGCCTTTCTGTCTACCAACTTCATATGTATCTATTAAGTTATAATAAGGTAAAAAGGAACTTGCTGAAGGAAAAAATTATTTTAATTTTTGTTGTTCCATACACAATATTCCTGTGCAGCTCTCAATACTTTGGGAATGATTTTCTTTTACCTCATGTCCTTCAGAGTACATTTACCACTGACCATCAGATTTTTCTAAGTGCTGCCACTGTCTGCCTCGGGACATGAGGAGTGCTCCTTATTTTAACAATTAAGCCTCAACTACATAAAAAGCACGTAAAACATTTGTGGACTAAAAAATATTCTAGACTGTCACAACCAATAAATATCCACGTCTGAATGTTTTTAAAGGAAGTTAATGTTAAATCTAGGTACTCTATTTGAGTCACAAACATACCCAATATAGTGCAATTCAAGCAGAAAGGAAACAGTCCGAATTCTTCCCTCTCTTCTACAATGCAATCCCTACCAACTTCCGGGAAACTTCGGATTTCAGGAAAATCGGATGAATGTTACATGAGCACATTGAATTTTATGGAAATGAAACATTTAAACTCCTTGTAAGGTTCTACACCCATTTCTTCTTTTTATGTATATATGTGGGTGGGTGTGTATACACATCTATTCTAGACATCTGCATATATCTGACTTCTTCAAAAATCTTAATAATTGATCACATATTGTGTGATAACCATGAAGTGCTAAGCTAGGCACAACCAACAACAATAACAAAATTATTCTCAGAAAAGATTGTTCTTAGGCTCTTGTAATTTTTGCAGAAACAGTTCTGTATTATTCATATTTATAACTAAAATTTATTCCACTAGCAGATTTGTGTGAAAAATGCAGACATACTTAATATTTGGTACAAGTCTTCAGAATAAATATAATTAATGAATACAGTATAGTATCAGTTATTTTATATAAACATTCAATTTTTGAGACTATGATACACTTTTTTTTTTAAGAGGCTGTGCTAGCAAATAGGTTTTAAGAACTTACCAAATATACAAAATATATTTATCATGAAAATTATATGCTTGGAGGAATATACTCCTGATTTAAATGTGGAGGATATGACAAAATATTTGCTTTGAGGAGAGGGAGGGACCGAATTAGAAAAGCAAACTCATTCTGTCTGAAATATTTAAACAATTTAGCGAACTTCCTACTCTAAATCCTACTCACAATATTCAATATGAAAACAAGTCAATATAGCTTGATAATAAAACCAGAGGTAGTGCTGTAACCGGTAGCCTTGGGTACAAAGGAATAAGTTGCTTACATGCAGAACGTGGGACAGGTTCTCAGTTGACGGCCCACTGGTTTAGCTGCTTTCAGTGGGACTATGACAATTTAAACCAGCTGAAGGGCTACCCCACCATTTTGTTGTTCAAACAAGTCAATATGATCCCTGCTTCATGGAGAAAAGGAGGGCAAGATTTCTAATAAAATGAATACCACCACCTGATTTTGTGTTTTCTTTATTTTTAAAATAGGCAGAGCTCTAAAAGTCAATAATAATATCACATTGTAGATGTGGGACTGAAGTCAATAAGACACAGTAAATTCAGTTATGGGAAACAGCTTTGAATGGTTTTAATTATATTTTCCTAGAAAGGCTTATAGAATGTTATTGATATTTGATCTGGATAGTTCTGTTTTCTATTACAAAGTACATAATATCAATACAGCACCATATATGTCTGCATTCAGCAGTCCTTAACCCTTTGCAGGCCCCAAATGAAAGGAGAGGCAGGTGGATATATTTAATTTTTTTTAATCTGAGAAAAGCAGATGCCATCAAACCTGTCACCTGTCATAAAGCATTAAACCTCAGTCGAAGTAAAGAAGTAACGAGGTCTGAAACACCATCACATTCTGGCATGATGAAGAATGACAGCAGACTATTCATTTTGTGTAAGGTATTTGTATGTTAACTGCATTAGACATCTTTTATTTTACAGTTGCCTCATTCTTTCTCTCTCCTAAAGCTGGCTCATGCACCTGGCCTCCCCTGGAAGCCTCTGCTGTCTGTCACTTTCCAATGTGTACATTCCAGCTGATTGAATCCTTTATTAAATTATATACCCCCATACTGAAAAAAAAAAAAAAAAGCCAAAAAAAAGGGGGGAAAAAAAAAGCCATACAGTATGAACAAAAGAATTCAGTTTCTCAGAACTATAAATTTCAAATCCATCTGGCCTGGGAGGGGGACAATAAAAATATACAGAAAGTGATTAAGAAGTACTCCACGATACCCACTGCAGCTAGTTACCGCAGGTCCTGTGGGTCCATCCACCCTGTGCATTCATACCACAGCTGAGCAGCTCCAGGAGATGCATAAATGAATATCATTGCCTCCAGTGAACGTAAGGGAAAGCAGACCAGCAGTCACTTGCCCAAGGCCACGCTTTAAATCAGCACTAGAACTGGGAATAAAATTCCCAAATCATTCTGCTTTCCCAGTTCAGGCGCCATTCAGTACATTGCAGCACAAAAAAAACAAACAAGCACACAGACAAAATTAACAGCTTGGTGTAAAGGGAAAATTATTTCAAGATAGGAGCATTGTGACAAGACTAACAGCAGCCGAACAACATGCATTCAGGCTCAATCAGAGCACCTACCTGAAATGGAAGTGCTGAAAAGCCTCCAAGAAAAGTGGGTAATTTTAGGAGGCCTGGGCATTATCAGCACACTAGTTCAGGAAAAAAGCAGGATTTTTACATGCTGTGGCCAACAGTAACCACCCCATTACTTACAGCCTAAGTACTGTATATATACTTGTATATATATATATATACATCCACGTAGACAGAGAAGACAGCTCTCCATGCTGATTCAGTAAGGTTAGAAGTGAAAAGGAGCTGCATAGCACTCGATGTGACGACAGAAACAAGCAGAGACAGCAAGGTTCAGATGCATGCCCCAGTCAGACATTGGTAGGATATAGAAAATCAGAGCTACAAGTTTGACAGCAAATATAGGTTAGAAATACACGGGAGTGACTGGTGGAATAGGCCAGGGGAGTTGTTTCAACACCCTGGCATGCTGCTCAGAATGATCTTTAAAATCCATTAAAAAGGGAATATACAGTGAGAGTGAAAAGGCAGCGAATGTAAAAGATTAAAGAAAACAACCTCCTGCCCAGTTAACGCTCTGCTGGGCTGTCCCCTGCACCGACACAGCATCAAACTGAAACCAAGGGGGCACCAACACACAGAGCAATTTTTCTTCCCGTTTTCTTTTTTGTTTTCAATAGCAAAACAAGCTTCTTGTGCTCCACGACTTAAATGCAACCGTTAACCCTAAGAAGGCAGGGAAGAAATTTTTCACGGGAGAAGTTTTATTCATAACTCAATAACGTGGGGATTCTTTCATGTTTCTCAAGAAGCTCTAAAACTAACCAGGCCGATATTATTTGGATGGATGGCACATCTGGGAGTGGTTTGAAGAAGCCATCTACTGAAAATGTAAGAAAAAGGCTCTTAGGGTAGTTTTTTGAATCTCGAGGAGGAAGTCTTTGGAGAGACCATATACAGTGATGATAAGGGCAAGGAGTAAATTCAGCAGTCTTAAAGGGGGAAGGGAGCTTACTGCCCTCAAACTACGACAGGATCAGTCTTTGGAAGCGTAAGATGTATGGCATTCGGGTAAATGCACCAGATCAGGCCAAAATATAAAACAAAACATAGATGAGACCACAGGGGGGGTTCAGAGACGACTCGACAACAGCACATCAGGAGACGGTTTCTGACCTGCGAGACGGGCCGTAAAAAGGCACAGTTAAGCCTGGATGAGTGAGCGAGCCAAGAATTACGAATGCATGAGAGCTACCAAAGTGTCCTTTAAAGAATAAAAATCCTGCTCGCTACCGCAAATAACGGAAACCTGCGAGTCAAGGAAGGCACGAATGGACCAGGCCACCTGAGCAGCGAGGCTGCGGTCTGAAGCGGGAGCTAACGGGCTGGTCTCCAGGCCGTGGTGTCCACATCCCACCCTCACCTTCGCTACTGACCCAGCACCGACAGCTCTTTCTCCAGAGGAACGACACTCCTTGCTGTTTTGCCTAAACGCCCAGCTCCTGGCATCATTTTGCCAAACCTGCTGCCCTTGGTTTTCGTGAAGAAAAAAACCCTACATTCTTCAGGATGAAGGGAGGGGGCAAGACTTGAAAAGGTTAACCCTCAAGAGTTAGAAAGGGAAGCTGTGCGTTGTCCCCTTCGCCATGCCCGCGGCTGGGGGTGGCACGCTCCAGCTACCCCCCGAGACACCCCGGCCGGAGAGGCACGACCTCAGGAGACAGCAGATTTCTGGGATCTTGGTTTGGCATCCAGACAAAGTTTAGTCATGGTCCAGATCGAGACCAGAGTCCCCCGATTAAATATCTCTTCTGCAGGCACAACGGTCATGTAAACAATCGTCTAAAACTCATTTTCTTTGGTAACATTTTTAGGAGGAGAACAATCAGATGGCATGTGTGACGGCAGCCCATCTCAGCCACCCATGGGAGTGGAGCAGACAGTTATATTAACTTTTTTACATCATTTTTTGCTATGCAGTTTAAAGGGGAAATTCCTTTTCCAAACAATTTTAATGGGTGGTCAGTGTGTCCTGGACAAAGATTAAGATCCACGTAGAGTAAATTACAGAATAGTTTGGGAAGTTCAAGTGCTGTAAATCACTCGGATCAGGAATTCTGAAAAAATAGCATAAAGCAGCAATGACACTTGCTGATAGAGCAAACTGAACCCTTTTAAAGAGCAACTATTCCTGAAAAGTCAATTATGCGGTGCCATTTTTAAAAGTAGTCAAGTCAAATCGAGGCAGAACGTGACAATTAACAGCCCAGACGTTACCAGCAGCAAACCGTATCTCAGTCCCAGGGGAGCAGGGCAAGACAAAAACATTAGGTTATGTGTAATATCATACAGTCAAATCAAAACAGGTTGAGTAAAGGAAAATTGAGGTTTGCGCAGCTACTGAAACCATGAGCTCAGTCGAATGACAACATGTACTTTAGACCAGTTTCCTCTTCTCTTCCAAATGCAATAGTGCTGATCACAATCTGCCAAAATCCTAAACCAAGTGTGCTGTAGTTAACAGAGATGTCTCCCATGGTAAGTTGGATGGGGCTTTGAGCAACGTGGTTTAGTGGAAGGTGTCCCTCCCCGTGGCAGGGGGGTTGGAACCAGATGATCTTTAAGGTCCCTTCCAGCCCAAACCATTCGATGATTCTGTGATTCACCCCTGGTATTAAACTCCCCTCCAGCAGCAAGACGTGCCTTGCAAAAGTTCAAATCTTTGGAAAGTGCATCCCCTGAAACATCATGCTATGGGGCCCCTGGGCCTTAAGGATCTTCAGTATTATACCAGTCAGCCGTATCTTCTTTTATGAGTTTTAAACATGAACTACTCTGTAAAAGCTTCAGGGCCTAAGAGTAAAGTGCCTATGCAAGACCAAGGCTTTTAATTTTTTTTTTTAATTTCTTTATGTGCTTCTTAATAAAAAAGATATCATTGTTAGTCTTTAAGAAGCCTGGGAGCTTTGTCCCTCTTAAGAAGAGCTCTCTCGCTAGTTCCAGTGCCTGGTGGGAGTATGAGATATTTCTACCCTGAGATGTTATCTAACGCTAACTCAGTTTGAAGTTCAGATTTCCCCTGCATATTCCTTAGGGCAGGTCACAGAGTAGACCTGAAATCTAGCACCTTCACCTTGAGATGTATATAATAAAAGTCAGCAGGTGAGGCAGTGACTTCTAGTCCACAGGCGAGGTTCTTTGCAGCAATTTAAATAAATTATTAGCAAATTAAATGATTTTTCATGTCACCATCTAAAGGTCCTACTACATATTTTTCTCTACAGATTACAATCCAACTGTTCAACCACAGTAAGGACAGAAAAACATATATAATGGAAAGGCAAAGGAGCGGCAAAAAGACAGCCTTGCCTAGTTCCCAGAAGTTTGTTGGTTTACCAAAACCTTTGATAAAAAAATATATTCTACCTGTGGTTCATGTTTCTCATGGTCCACAAGAAAACAAGAACTACTAAGAAACATAATGAAAAAACACAGAATGGGCAGGACTTCATATATCAAGAGCTCCTTTTCCTTAATCTTTCCTGATATTAGAAGAGTTCATTTGTGTTCAGAACAAAAACAAAAAACAAATCAAAACTTGAATCTTCAGCTTGTAGCAGAAAGAGTTATGACTGGCTTTATCTCCAAACAGGAATGATCCTTTTAAGTTCCATTTCAAGACTTCGTAATGAAACTAGACCGATTACTAGGCTTTGAAGGTTAATTGAAACTCTACAAAACAGCTGTAGAACAAAAGGCAAATTTCAGCTTTTCCTCTGGCTTTAGTCATGAAGAAAACTACCCTGAAATTAAGTTCTGGTGTATTTTACAGTATAAATGTAACACACACACACTTTCTGTACTTGGGCAAAGCTCCAGCTTCTATGTAGTGCTTGTTCAAAGTGCAAGATGCTTTTCTGAGAAACCTCAGCTCAGCTGGGTGCTGCATAGAGCCTAACACACCCAGCTTGTACGGAGGGAAAAAAGTGAGTGATATAAACCAATTGGAAAGACAAGCCATTTAGCTCTCTTCTGTACTAAATAGAATTCAATCATGCAGGTTTCCCCATGAGAAAACACCAAGAACAGCAACAGATTAATCTGTTTTTCCTCGCAAGGCCAAAGGTTCACCACCCAACCTGGGTACACCACAAGGTAAGAGAATCACGGTCTGCCAGAAGCACCAATTCTCTTGAACAACCTCTTTCCAGCTACTTAAAAACATTCATTT